GTTTGCATATTAGTCTGTTAGTTGTTTACAATTATTGAAGTGCTCTCTTGTGACCTTCTCACCTAGTTTGTATTTCAATTCTTACTTATCTAGAAGCAAATTATGAGTTAAGTATTTTTACTTTCTCCTTGCTGTCACTTAACTTTATACCCTTAAAAAACCCTTTAGGTATCCCACTGAACTCCAACCTCCTGACACCATAGCTCACTGCTTAGCTCTTTAAAGCATCCTCTGTCAGGTGACAGCTCTAGTCTCTCAAAGCTGTGCCCGACTTGTTCACCACTGTCTCTTCAACCCCCACAAAGAGCCTGGCACACCTTTGTGTGTTTGACCATATAGCCAGACTCACAGGGCCTCAGTCAAAGGCATTGCCCTTCTGTCTGAATTCCAATTATTACAAGTACTAGAGGCCCAGTGCACAAAATTCATGCACAGGGGTGGGGGGAAAAGGAGGGGAGTCCCTCAGCCCAGCCTGCACCCTCTCACAGTCCGGAAGCCCTCGGGGGATGTCCTACTGATGGCTTTAGTCTGCTCCCTCTGGGGAACGGGCCTAAGCCATCAGTCAGACATCCTTAGCACTGCCATAGAGGCAGAAGAGGCTCCTGCCACCGTCGCTGCACTCACCAGCTGTGAGCCTGGCTTTTGGCTGAGCAGTGCTCCTGCATTGAGCGTCTGCCCTCTGGTGGTCAGTGCGTGTCATAGCGATCAGTCATTCTGCCATTTGGTCGATTTGCATATTAGCCTTTTATTATATAGGGCTACAGGCCGGGTGCACGAATTTGTGCACAGGTGGGGTCCAGCCAACTGGCCCCAATCTGGGCAAATCGGGCCGGGCCAGCTGGGGAAGGGTTCACGGGAGGTTGGCCAGCTGGCCCCGTCCCCTGGTCGACCTCTGGGTCGAGGGGACAATTTGCATATTAGGTTTTTATTATATAGGATACTCTCCCTTCTAAGTCTCTAGCCATGACAGAAAAGTATATCCTTCTATAGGAAATTGCAGATGCCACCTGGAGAACCCATCACTATTTCTGATTCCACCTCTTAATGCATTTACAAATTTCAATTTTCTGCTCAGAAAGTACTCCCAGGTCCAGAGATGCTGAAATCCAACTGGCTGTCTGCTAAATGCACCCTGACATTCATTAGCTCCTTCCCTCACCCAACACATATTTATTGCTCATCAATGGTGCACAGCTGAGCCTCATAACTGAAACCATATTTTTATTATCCTCCCCCTATATGATTATCTCTCCCGAACCAATTTTATTTACCAATCATGCATTTGGTTTTCTCATGAGATAACTACTGTGTCACCCCATAGGGTCTATAACAGTTCAATTAAAAGCAAAGAAACATTCGACTTTAGTAGTCTGTGCTGCCTTATTGCCATCAGATAAATGCAGAGCCTCCTTAAGACTCCTTTGTAACAGTCTGAACTATCACCAATACCCTCCCCCATTCTGCAGACTGTGACCCCAGCTTGAGTTCTACGAGTCAGTAGAGACAAGAAAGGCACACTCCCTAAAGAGGGCAGCTCCCTTATTGTAGTGACCACATTCCCTCCCCTAATCTGTTTCTTCCTAGATCCCAGCTTCCTCCTTTGGAGTCCTGGCTCACTGAGACTGGCTCTCCCTTCTCTTAGCCCTCTCTCAGAGGGCTAAGGGGTTCTGCAAAGTGGCACCCTGCCTTTCAAAGATTCCTGGCCTAGACTTCCAGGCATAATTGCAGCCATACTCTCTTTGCCTTTTCCTTGACACATGCCCTTCCCGGAGTCCCCTCACTCCACCGCAGCCCACTTACTTCCTGAGCCATAGCACCACTTCTGTACCACAGTGAGGCTCCCCAGGCTGGAGGGATGAAACCCCAAAGGCATTTTTGGTTAAGAGTGGGCTAGAAATTTTCTATTACTAATCACAAAAGCTTCTTTTCATCTTTTATATATTATTTAACTAAGAATGAAGCAATCAATCAAATATCTATGTACTTAAAAACTATTTTATTTTTTAATTCATCCTGAAAAGCTGTACCACACTGTAACTACACATGCTGAAAAGGGTGGCCATGACGCATGCCTGGCAGGTGACTCGTCTTACTGCCGTTGGAAGGAAGCACTCCTTGGCCTCCCTAGACTCTTTCTTAAATCGTTGAGCTCACATACTGATGTTTATTAAAATAACCAAGAGATTTGGCTCTTTGACATGTGCCAACCCAATGTCAACAAGGACTCTGAAAAATAGAGGCTCCCCAAGCCATCTTTATGTCTTAATAAAAGGCTTCAGGCTGGGCGGGGAAGAAGGGTGCTATCCAGTTTTCATCAGTCAAGCACAGCTGGCTGGCAATCAGCTTGTTTTCCTGACTTCCATTAACAAATTCCACTTTATTACTTGGCTCTTTCAATAGCAGCTCCAAAGAGAGATCATTTCTCCTCAAGTACTTGTGCATGTCAGCCTGAAGTTTTAACATCTCTTTGTGGGGAGCCAGCCTCCTAAGGAAGGGTATGACCTCCACTCACAAAGCCCAGGAAATCTAAATCAATGACAACTATTTTGATCCTAAAATGCTCCTCGCTCATAAGTGCCTTTCTCATTATTTGCCTGGAAAATTCTTCTTTATTTTCTGCACGACAGCCACCTCTTGTATGGCCTCCCAGCTCTCCCCACATTCCATCTGGCTTCTGCTGTGTCCCCAGAGCAGAGGTATGAAACCCCAAAGGCATGGAGCTTCGTCCTGTCCTGCAACCTGCACAGCCCGCCTTGTGCATGGCTCCTCCTCTAGGGTAGGGAATAGCGAACTTCTCTGGCGGGTCAGGCGGTAAACATTTTAGGGTTCCCAGACTACATTTAATCTCAGTTGCATTTTTGTCCACATAATTTAATAATGTAAATGCCATTTTTAACTTATAGGCCATAAAACCAAACAAAAGAAAATGGATCACCATCTCAGGGCCATCCATTCCTACTCATACTTTAAAGTCTCATCTCTCCCACTGGACTGTAAGCTCCCTGAGAGCAGGGATTACCTCTAATTTCTCTTTGAATTCCCCAGCTCCTGGACATAGAGGTGTTCAAATCATTGATGTCTATTACACTGAAACATCAATATCTAATTTATCTTGATGAATCAAACATATCCATGGACAATTACATATATATATATATTTTTTTAAATTGATTTCCAAGTGGAAGGGATAAAGGGATAGAAACATCAATGATGAGAGAGAATCACTGATCGGCTGCTTCCTGCACACCCCACGCTAGGGACCGAGCCCACAACCCAGTCATGTGCCCTGACCAGAAATTGAACTGTGACCTGCTGGTTCATAGGTCAACCCTCAACCACTGAGCTATGCCGACTGGGCAATTTCCTCAACTCTCGAACAATCCCAACAGAAAGTCATTTTGCATTTTGAGTCCCTTAGGCATTGGGCATTAAAGGTAAGCTCTGTTCCTGGGTGTAGGGAGAAGTAGATGATTTTTGCCTCATTTAGTAGGAAAAACTATGATATTCAGCCAAAGAGCTTCTCACTCCTCAATGCAGAAAAAAATAGTGCCTCTGTGAGAGTTCGATTGGGCCCCAAACAGCACCTAACTCCAGCTCACTCAGCTTCTGAGCAGCCACTGTTTCTCTTTGCAGAAAATCATCTAGATTGGTGATGCTGTCTTGAATACTTGCCAGGTATTCAGCCTAGCTATTAGCAATTCATTCACCTCCCATCTCACCACAATCGGGGAGAAAGCATTTCCAAGTCATACATGCCAGAGAAACACTGAGAGTCATCATTAATACAGCTAGCACCCTGCCCCCTAGTTCTCCCAACCAGAAATGCTCCAGAAAGGCCATGACCACCCTTCTCTGGTTAAGGAGCCCCACTGTTAAATTGTGAGAGATGAGCAGCATGTCACTGGCATAGTCTTAACTTCGAGGGCTCCATGCCTGGCTTGCTGGGGCTCCCAACAGCGTGAGCTGGTGAGGAAGGGAGGAAGCCAGGAGCAGACAGAACCACTGCTAAGGAGGAAATGGCCCTCAGCACACCTGCTCTGTGAGGCTGGGCGTCCAGTCTAACATTCCAACGGAACAGGACAAACTGGAGACTGATTCCACTCATATCCACATCAGGCAGGCCCCCCTGGCTCAGGGAGGAAAGGCACCAGAAGGTCCAGGCAGTGTCAATCTTCAAGCCAGGCAGTGCTTTCGAATGCCTGTTTAGAGTAGGAGCCCAGCCAGCCCCACCACCACCCCACACCACCATGTAACAAAGCCGCCGAGAACCAATGTGAGGGCTGAATGTGCCATTGGGATCGCCCCCTGCAAGCTGGGGTTCAGGGGAGGACTCCGGGTCCAGTAAGCATCTGGAATGTGGAGCAGGAAGGAGCCAGAGTGGGTCACCCTGCAGGCGGCAGGTTACACCCAGCTCAGCCCCCAGTTCCTAGGGCATCAGGAGGGTTTCAACAAAACAAATCCCAAACCCCACTTCCTAGAGGTGAGGTCCCTAATGTGCTCCAGAATGGAGATGAGGGTGCCGAGAGAGGGCCAGTGAACCCCCCCCCCCCCCAACAAAATCAGCAGCCTGAAGGACTAGGTCGTATGACTAGTCAGTCACACAGAGAGCTTGGCTCCCTGTGCATGAGTTGTCCCCAGGAGAGGCTATCATTTCACACATAGAAGCTCCTAAGTTCAAATCATATTTATGAATCATTATAGCTAAGACTCAAGTCTGGCCAGTACAGAATCACATCAGCCCAGCCACCTGCAGCCAACAGGTGAACAAGGGTGGGTCACCCTACTCTCAGCATCCTCACCCGCCCTTGGACACATGCCGCTCTTCGCTATTCCTGGAGGGACCTCCCCAGCACAATTAAGCCCATGGTGGGACTAAAACCTACACGTGGAAGCAAAGAAACCAACCGAAATCAAACTTTAAATCAGTAAACTAACAGTGCTCTACTAATCATGCAAAAAGTAAGGAGAGAAAATATGGAATAGAAGGTGTGGTACGTTACCCAAAAGCCCTGCTAAAGACCGCATGTCCTTCTCCATCAGCATGTAAATCTCTTCCTCTGAGAAGCGGCCAATGCCGTGGCCGTGCATCTCGCGTTTCACAATTCCTTTCGTTATGTGGCACACGACCCACCTCAGCAGGTTGCTGAAGGGACCACCACCATTAAGAGAGAGCATCTTCCGGGTCTCATTGAGATTGTCCACCCACTGGCAATAAGCTAACGTCCTGGAAGTGTGTGGAAACAAGTTACTACTGTGCATTAGATACATAGCAGCTCCACGGGGCAACTCCCCACACGTGGGTCAGGATTTGGAACACTCTGGAGGAATTGAGTCATTGCAGCTTTTCTAAAAAAGCATGGCAGGTGTTACACAGGCCCTAGTGGATGCTTGGACTTGGGGCGCGTGGGACACACAGTAAGAAACTCAGGTAACGATGCCATGCTGCCATTCCACCAAACCTCTCCTGCCACCCGCCCGCAGACCGTCCCCCTCGCCCACCCACAAGACCATGCTTCTGCTTTTTCTTAGGCAACCCCACAAAAAAACAAGTAGAAACCCACTTTGAGAGGCTTCTAGGCAGCACAGTGCGTACCTAGGGGGAGCCATGGCAGGGAGGGAATGAGGGGGGCAATGACTGGGGTGCTGGTTTCATTCCCTTTCTGGATCAAAGCAATGGTTACACAGGTTATGTTCTGTTAATTAATCAAGCTGCATATTTTTGTTTTGTATACTTTGTGTATGTACTTTATATTTCATGATAACAAAAAATTTTATTTTAAAGAAACCTTTTGCCTTTGCGAAAGGATTAGGGAGTAGGTATACCTGTTCATGTTTATAATAAACTATATAAATTATAAGTATTTCATTAACAACTTGCTCTCCAAAAAGTCAACTCTCTGCTTCAGTCTGTTCTCTAGGACTCTAACGTGGATACAAACACCAAAGGAACTTGGTGGGATCATTTCCCACCTGCCCATGTGTTCCCATGTAACAGGTGGCTATTCACTGTTCCTGTGTTATGCTGGCTGATACCCAGGCCCTTGCTGATCTTGTTCTCTGTACTTGTGCAACTGCAGGAATGTCTTTACGGTTAAGTGTTGGTAGACAGAAATTAAAGGTTTCCATGAACCAGGAGATTGCAGTTCGATTCCTGGTCAGGGCACATGGCCAGGTTGCAGGCTTAATCCCCAGTGTGGGGTGTGCAGGAGGCAGCTGAACGATGATTCTCTCTCATCATTAATGTTTCTCTCTCTCTCTCCCTTCCTCTCTCTGAAATCAATAAAAACATGTGTGGTTGTTGTTTCTTTAAGAAATTAAAGGGTGTCCTACTGAAGACTGAGAAAAATGTAGCTGTGGGCTACAGTCATAAGATATTTAGTTTTTCCTCTTAATGAGTAATAAAAGATGCATTAGCAGTCATCTCAACTCCTATGTTGATATAGCAGTAATGATTACTTCAAAATAATTAGAAGAGTAAAAAATATTTTTAGAGAGAGAACACAAGGGATGATAGTAAATTGTAGCTACTTTCCACCTCAAGAAAAAAAATACACCTGAAAATAGGTCTGATCATTTTATATTGTTCTTCTTCTTCTTTTTTAGGGTTTGCTCCTCTACAAAATAAAAATTAGGGGGGAAAACAAAAGCAAAAGATTTTTCTAAAAATTTTTAAACATTCCTGATTTTTACTGAAAGGTCCTACAATCAATTTCAACATATTCTCTGTACTGAAACCATTTATCATCCTTTTTATTTTTATTTTTTTTAATCCTCACCCAAGGATATTTTTCCATTGACTTTTAGATTCTAAAATTTAGAAGGAGTGGAAGAGAGAGGGAAAGACAGAGAGAAATATCAATGTGAGAGAAACTCATCGATTGGTTGCCTCCTGCACAGGCTGGAGAGGAGCCTGCAACACAGGTACATGCCCTTAACCAGAATCGAACCCAGGACCCTTTGTTCTACAGGCCAACACTCTATCCACTGAGCCAAACTGGCTAGGGCTTTATTACCTTTTTAAAGGAATGTTTAAAAATCTTGTTAGAAGGGTTTGTGTGCCTCTTCTTTAAAAGTCTCTCAAAATAAACTATTGAGAAACCAAGCAATGGATTTTGGTGAGAAAAGGAAAAGGTATATGGCAATGGTGACTAATCGGCGAGACATTCGAGGAGTCAATGGAGCTTTTGGTATGAAAGAGCTCACATTTATTCTAGTAAATTCTTTAAAACTATTCAAGCTAAATGCTTTTCTATTTGCTCTTCTTTTTACACCTGCAATTAAGTAATTAAGGTGTCAATTTTCACATTCTCTTAGAATAATTCAGCACATTCATTCTAATTGTACAGATCTAAGTAAACGGGCTATATCATCCTTCATTATTTTGGAAGTCAGTGATCTGAGAATAAAACAGAATTATCGTAAATGGACACATACGTAATACCCTTTGTAATAAAAAATAAAATTAAAAAAAAAAAACAGAATTATCGTAACTTAAGTATGGCCAGGTAATAATAGCAACCAGGAAGCATCTAACGTGTAAAAAATGAGGAATACTGTGGCTCTAAGCTGATAGGTTGACGTGCGGGGGCGGGGGGCGGGGGGAATGCACTCTTTGTAGGCAAATGACATAGGTTTTGTCATAAGCATAACTGATGCTGAAGGATGAGCAGAAGCTCCCAAGCAGAGCAGAGGGAGATGGTGCGTGCAGCAAGAGCATTGGCTGGTGGATGAGTGGCAAGAACTTCAGGATGGGGGTTGGGGTACAGGATGCCTGAGGAAGCTTGAAAGTGTTTGGGGGCTGGAAGGGTAGGCAAGGATCAGATCAGGATGGATCTGAAGCAAAGGAGGCTAAACTTGATTTTGAAAGCAAAGTTTAAACACTTAAAAGGTTTTAAGCAGACAAGAAATATGATCAGACTGATGGTGAAGGATAAGGTGAAGGTAAAGAAACTGGCGGAGGGAGGCTGACTAGAAGACCACGGCAAGACCAGACATGAAATGATGCACTGAGCCCTGGCCGGTTTGGCTCAGTGGATAGAGCGTCGGACTGCGGACTGAAGGGTCCCGGGTTTGATTCCAGTCAAGGACATGTACCTTGGTTATGGGCACATCCCCAGTGGGGGGTGTGCAGGAGGCAACTGATCGAAGTTTCTCTCTCATCAGTGTTTCTGATTCTCTATTCTTCTCCCTTCCTCTCTGTAAAAATCAATAAAATATATTTTTAAGAAAAGAAGAAATGATGCACTGAACTAAGACAATGGCAAGGGGATGGTGAACAGGGCACGCATAGGACAAATACTGAGATATGAGAGAAAGACCAATGGATATACAGGATGAGGTATAAGAGAAACTAGGCCTTTCCTCCCAGGCTAATGGTTTGAGTGGACGATATTGCTTTAGCCAATACTGGCAATACACAAGGTGGAATAGACTTCGTTGATGAAAGATAAGTTAAATTGTTGCATTTGAAGGTTCCATGTGAGTGCTGAGTGAGGAGTCCAGCAGGTTGAGAACTCAGGAGACAGTTTAGGTCCAGATAGAGAATCTGTGGGCAGGGGCATCAGTGGCAGTTTTAAAGCGTGAGAGGAGATGAGGTTGCCTAAGGAAGTTTCCGGAGTAAGGAGTGGGGAAACCACAGTTCAAGGGCAAGTTAGAAGAGGAGACAGCCGGCTGGAAGGGCCAGCCTGGAGAGAATCAGGGGCACCGCTTTCTCTGAGATAAACAGAAGTAGGGCACCGCTTGTAAGAGGTGAGGAGTTGCAGAGGTTCAAGGCTCCTTACTGATGTCTTCCATCTCCTTTGTTGTGCAGGAGAGGAGAGCAGGTGCAGAAGGTGAGGATGCAGCAATGGGAAAAGAGTTTTTGAATACTAATGGGTAGAGCAGCAGGTGGGGGTGGGGCAGGCAGGAGCTCCACCAATGCAAGGCAGAGCGTAAGGTTCCCTGCCTGCATTAGCAAGTTGGATGCAGGGCACAGAAGAAGGAACACTGGGTTGATTCAGAATTTTGCAGTTAAAAGTAACCTCAGAAACTGTCTGGTCTTTCTCCCGTCTCTTTCCTGCCCTACTCTTGATTTCCTTCTTCTCTTTCATTCCCTGGGCCCCATATTATAGATGTGTGTTAGGGAAGAGAAGGTAATGAGGGCCAGGAAGGCTCTTTCAGGGTCAAGCCCTGTGAAGTGTGTATGAACTTTAACTACCAAAGAAAATAGGTGCTTCGTGGATTTTTAAATCAGTTACTACAGGTCCAAGACATCACTGACCACGCTTCCAGACCACTACAAGCACAAATCCACCTCCTCTTGCAACCACGCTTCCTGGAAACTCTGTCCGCATGGCAGGGCTCCCACCCATTACACTCCACTGAAACCACCCTGCCCAAGTCCACAATCCCTCCTTATTGCAAAATCCAAATCAACCTTCTTCCATATTTATCTTTCTTTAATTCTCTATAGATCCAACAATACTGGCGTATTTCTTAGAATTCTTCCTTAACCTACGTCTCCACTGCTTTTCCTCCCACCTCTTACATGTTCCCAAGATTTTACCTTTACTCCTATCTTTCTCACTCATGGAGTGATCTATTTCCCACCCATGATTTCAAACTGATGACTCCCAGCTCCATATCCAGCCCACACCTCTGTCCTGAGACCCAGGGACCCTCATGAGAGAATCTCAGGAACCGAAAACCAACACTTCCACACTGGACTCGTCATCTTCCTTCTCTTCCAACCTGCTTCTCCTCATCTGAGCCAGAAAGAAGCTCGGGAGCTATTCATTCCTCACTGCTCCCATCCCTCACTCCCGACCACCAGTCACCTGGGAATTCACTCTTTACTCCAACTCAGTTATCACTGGAGTTCAGCCCTTCATTCTCAACCTGAGGACAGAACCCTCCTAGCAGGTCTCCTGACATCTCCTCAAGGCCCTCCAGAAATCCCTTTACCACAAAGAGCTTCCTAAAACACAAATCTGATCATGTATCAGAATGACAATGCTTCTCAGGGTCATTCATTAACTCCCCATAGCTCTTTTGCTTGGCACACCAGCCCCCTCCCACAGTCTGACCCACCCCCTGCACTGCCTCCCATGTGGCACCATACAGAATTATATGTGCCTCCCAAACCCCCCTTTTGTGCCTCTAAACATTTGCAGAGGCTGTTCCCTCTACCCGGATATCCTAATCGTTCCCTACCACCCCGCCCTTTGCCCTGCCACTCTGATTGTC